ATTTCCCTACTTCATTTAGGAACTCTTTTTTTCTAAACAATTTAGAATGCTCATTTCCTAATATATGAAATTTATTTTTCTTTTCTTTTTTTCTTCTTTTTCTTTTTTTGGCATAGGGCATGTGTGCTCACTAGAGAGGAGATACAGAGAAAGTGAGGAATTGCCCCTCCTTAGCGGGATGACCATGCCACAATCCATCCTCCATTCTCCAGCTTGAAAATACACACCCAGTGTTATTTTCAAGCAGCTGGGTCTGGGACTTGAACCACAGTCAGCCACGTAAGAATTCAGCTACCTTAACCATCTGCTGGTCCCTACGTGAAAATTTATAAAAAATGATTTTCAAATGCATAAATAAATCTAAACACAAAATAATTGGGGGGAATTCTGGAAAATGCCACATATTTTGTGAGTGTTCTATTACCTCCATAGTGTAACACTCATTACTGACCAGCTTTTACCCTGCTAAAGTGTTAACTAGGGTTCACTGGGGGCATTAACAGAGGATGAATGACCCACAAGCTCTCTGTGTGGCATATTTTGTCTCATGTTGTTAACCATCCTGGCCACCTAAGTGGAGATCTGGAAAAGTTTAGTCAGTCATTGTAGACTCAAAATCTTTACTTTGTCCCCTTTTGCAAGGATGCTCCTGATTTCAATCAGCTACAAGAAATGTTGGATGAAAAATGGCACAAATGTGAATTACGACAATAAAAGTTTATAAGCTACTAAAATAAAGTTATAGTACCAAAGAGCTGAGTCAACTGACAATGTTAAATGGAACATTTTACAACCAGTCCTTGGATAATGATAAAGAAAAAAAAAGACACTTGGAATATGAGGAAAAATCTGGAATAATGATAAAAAAAAGAAAAAAGACACTTGGAATATGAGGAAAAATCTGACAAGAAAAAGGCCTCAGATCACGCTCAGGCCTTGAGTATGTGTGAGCCATCTCTACAGGGGGCAGGAGGAGATGATAAGCAAATGCTGAGGGAGAGTCACCTCTATGGCTAACCCTTGAAGGCCATTAGGTATTTTACTCCTCGTAATAGCTCAGTAAAGGAGGTATTGTTGGCACCATATTAGAGAAGAGAAACTGAGGCATACGTGGTCCAGTTATTGACCAAAGACAAACTGTTCAATAGCGGAGTGAAGACTTAAAAGTCTGTCTGACTCCAAAGCCCATGTGGTTTCTCTTTTTTTACTTATGCTCTCTCTTTACATAGACAGACCATCTCAATAAACACTTTTTGGTTTCCTGAAAAAGTTCCCTGCCCTACCTGATGCTAGTGTTTGTTTCGGACCATCAATTCAGATGATAGTTGTTTTTACCACGGAGTTTATCGTTAAATGAGCTATACAGAGAATGTTAAATTACAGCTAATTAAGGCCAATAGATGGGGCAAGAATGAAGAACAGCACTAAGAAGAAAACTGAACACCAAAAATAATACTTAAGAAAGAATACAAGAGCTCTTATCAAAGGTTGAATAGGTGTTATGCAGATCTTTAGTTTTATTTTTAAATAACCCCACTCACAAAATGTTTTGTGCATACTTGCAAATTTTCACTACCTTTCTCTAACCTTTCTATGTGACATCCTCCTTCCCATCACCCCACCTCTTCTTACACCAAGGGGCTTCTCATTTGAGTCCACCAGAGCATCTCCATGACAAATGCAAGGACTCTAATGTGTCCAGGAAGATCTGTCGAGGTCTCTCAAAAGGCTGGTATCTGCTGTAATTGCATAATTACTTAGAAATACTGTTTTTTACCTTTGAAGATTTAATAAAATTTACATTTTTCTCCCTCATCGGACTCTCTTTTAATATAAAGATAGTCTTTTCAATTACTTATTGTGGACCAAAATTCATGATCCAATAAAAATTAATGTCATGTCACTTCTGAGGCTCCACATGCCCTGTGCTAACTCCTCCTACTATAGCCAGAGATACATGATGATAAAATGGTATACTCTCATGACATGCAAAGTGCTAATGGAAAATGAAAAGGACAGAAAAACGACTGAGATATTAATTCAAGACAAAAAGAAAGTAGGACTGTTTGAATAGGCCTAGCAGAATGGTTTAGTTCTTCCTGAAAATAAGTGGGATGTTATCCCACCATATCTTGACCTCTTCCTTAATCCCTCCCCTTCTTTAGTTCCTAAGCATGCACACAGACATGCAGACACGCACACACATACTAAGGAAAAGGTCTACACAATATTCAGTAGACAGACACGTAGGAAAACATCTATTGAAACTACTCATCTAAACAGCAGATGAAGGTATTATCTCAATCTAGCAAGAAAACTGTGTATTTCAATTGTGAGAAAACAAAAATTAATAAATTGGAGAAGTGGAACGTACAAAATAGCTTTAAACTCAGTATCAGCTTTTATTTATAGGTCCAAGACAACAAAGGACACAAACTGATTTTTATGGTTGATCTGCAATAATAGCCCAATAATGGACACAAACAAACTAATGTTTATGGTTGATCTGCAATAATAGCCCAATAATAACCGGGCAGTTAAATGACAGAAGAGAAACAAGGTTAAATGGGAAGTGGCACAATTTGATTGTGGTTGTCATACTTACACACTTGCTGACTGTCAACTCTAAACAGAGCTTTTAATTCAAATCTGATTTAAAAGTGTTCATGCCAGACCAGCAGGCAGCGGGGTGGTTAAGGTGCTGGGTTCCCACATGGCTGAGAGTGGTTAGAGTCCCAGATCTGGAGGCTGGACCATCCCCCCTGATTTCTCTCTCTCTCTCTCTCTCTCTCTCTCTTTCTTTCTCTAGTCAGTGCACACACCCTATCGCTAAAACCTAAAATAAAGAAGTAAATAAAAATAAAAGTATTCATGTCAAGAGAAAGGCCAAGATCCATTTTCTAGTTGAGGAAACAACCACAATCCATGTGCCACAGATGGTCAATGAGATCATTTCTATTGTCACATAGACGACTGCTCTGATCCACTGTTCTCTCTCTCTCTCTCTCTGTCTCTCTCTCTCTTTGTGTGTCTCTGTGTCTCTCTATGGTGAGTGTAGGTACCCTATAGCAAATTAAGAAATAACAGTAATAATGATAAATATAATTAAATAAATAACTCTTTTTAAAACAATTATTTTATTTAACTTTATTAATTAATTAACTTATTTATTTATTTATTTACTTTAATTTGACCAGAGAGGGACAGAGTGAGAGTGAGAAGCAAGAGTTATAGAGAGAGAGAAAAGGAAAATAGGAAAGCATTGGACCTGGACCTGGCTCAAACCGCGGTCAGCCATGTGGGAGTCCAGTGCCCTAAACCACCACGCCATCTGCCGGCCCCAATAAGAAAGTCTTTAAGAAAACAAATAAAGAAAGATCTTCTTGTAAGGACAGCAGGTAGTGTGGTGGTTAGAATGCTGGACTCCCATGGGGCCAGCAGCTAGCGTAATGGCTAGGGAGAAAAACACATAGTCAACTGCAGTTTGAGTCCCGGACCCGGTGGCTTAAACTCACGCTGGGCGTGTGTGTGTGTGTGCCCAAAATCCTCAGAGGAGAAAGGAGGAGAAGGGATTACGGCGTGGCCATCCCCCCTGGAGGGTGATTTCTTGCTTTCTGTCTCTCTGTCTCTCTCTGTCTTTCTGGTGAGCACATGTGCCCTATAGCAAAAACCTCTCAAAAAAAGAGATAACAATAATAATAATAAATAAAATTAAATAAAAAGATTTTCCCTTTTAATCTACTTGTAATACTATATATCCATAACATATATGATGATACTAGATCTCATTACTGTTTTTAAAGTGTTGCCTAAGAACAAGCATTGACTACATATCATATAATATGTTATATTTTATATAATATATTAAATAATAATACTTCAAAACTCACTTAAGAAAAAATTGTATGTGGCTATAGATATATTAGGTCATTTTTGCATAGAAAAATACGTCACGACTTTTCTGATGACCTGATAGAAGTAAATATACATATAAATATTGCCAGAGAGAGAGAATTATAGCAAAGATCTGATGCAAAAGTCAAAACTTAGAAGCAATTGGGACCAGCAGTTCGCATATGACTATGCCGCTGGACTCCCACGTAGTTGACCGTGGTTCGCCTCCCGGACCCGGCAGCTTAAACTCATGCCAGGCGTGTGTGCATGCATGCCCAAGATCCTGAGAGGAGAATGGAGGAGAAGGAATTGAGGCGTGACCATCCCCCCTGGGGGATGATTTCTTGCTTTCTGTCTCTCTGTCTCTCTCTGCCTTTCTGGTGAGCGCATGCGCCCTATAGCAAAAACCTCTAAAAAACTAAACAAATAACTTAGAAGCAATTAAAGCAATAACCTTGAGTCTTGAATAATTTGATATGTCCTAGAGGAAATGGTGATCCTTTATTTGGATGTACTAAAGTGATAGGTTACTCACCAGGTCCAAAGAAAACCTCTATGGCAACCAAAGATTTCAAGTAACTGTCCAATAGGGTCTGTGATATTATCATAAGGTACCCCTAGATTTATCTAAATTTTCAAAATAATGTAATATTTGTCATCTACATATATTATCTCACTTATAATTAGCATATGATACAAACTATCTATTTGGCGATGGAAATTTTTTTTTATTCATTCAATAGATATTTACCAGGCAATCCTTCAGTATATGGCATTATTCTAGATACTGTAATAGAAATATAAGAATAAAAGAGACAAATATAGTTCCTATAAATTAATAGCATAATCTGGTCATCTCTACAACACAGTTCTTTTGACATACATATGCTGTGATACAAATTGAGGAGGTGTTTGAGCTTCAAAATATTGGGGGTCTTTATTATCATTTTACTGTCAATTGTATGATTAGATAAATTTTGACAATAAAGTTTTAGATGAACTTTGTACTATTGAAACAAATAAAGCACTGTGGATTGTGGAATGGTAAAACATCATAGGGACTTACAGCTCCACAGATGAATAACTACTACATTTGTTCCGAACAGGCAATTGGTTTCCAAACACATTAAACAAAGGCAATTTAGAAAGCTTCTTCTTCTTCCTGGCATCGTTGGCATTGTTGAATGTCCTGGGATTCTGGAGAGTTTCACAAAGGTAAGTAAGGTTTGGGTAAGAACAACATCTGAGTCCATGAAGTACTGGTCTGGGAACCAATACTAAGCCAGTGGGACACCTGAATGCCTGGACTGAACAAATTAGCTTATGAGAGACATGGAACCGATTATTCTAAGCAAGAAATTTCAGCCTAGACTTCCCTTTTGCATTAATTCTCATCATAAAACAGTTCTTCACTCAATTTTGAAACATGGTCTAAAACAAGATGTTTTTCTCTGCTACAGAGTACCACTTTAGAATTAGAAATAACCACATTGATAATAAGAATGAATGAGTCATTATGTTAAAAGCAACTATATCATTAAACAAATAGCTAGCAATCTAATGACGCTTGAGATTTGGATCCCATGCAGGCCTTTAAATCAGCAGTGGCCATTCAAGGTCAATATGAACTGCAAAATCCCTTCGCCAGTCACCTGAGACCATTCAGTGGCTCAGCATGGGTCACTACCCTCCATCCACTGTCCATCCAGCTCTCTCACGCCCTCACTGACATATTTTTGGATGGTTTGTGCACTTTTGTGCAAAATGTCTAACCTCTCGACCCTCTATTTTCACATGTGTAAAATAAAAACAATGATACAGATCTCTCAGGGTTTTAGAGGGATGGATTTTTGATAAAAGCCTAAGCATATCTGTCACATAGCAGGTATGAGCCAGATTTGCATTTTCTTCATTTTCCTCCATTCTTCATATACTGGGTTGTCAGAAAAGTCATGATGTATTTTTATGTGTTTCTATGCAAAAATGTGTCATGACTTTTCTGATAAGCCAATATTTATTTTATCATAAATTACCCCACCCAATGTCACTTTTCCCTTGCCTAAATCATCCTTTGATTCATCAAACAATCACTGGGAACACCAGCCATGTGGTAGATAAGGTAGAAAAACTAGAATGCAGTCAGTAAGTCAGTTACTGTCAGTGACTTTATGCTTCTGCAGTCTTAGAGCTTATGGTCTAGCCTTGGAGAGGGGCCCTAAAACCTCATGCAAGACAGAATTCATGGCAAAATTAAAAGCCTAATGGCTCTTTGGAGTTTTATATTTCTTACCCCCAAAAGGATATGTTATCAAATTGATCCTCTACAATGTATAATTTCCCTAAATGCTAGTCTCACATCCTTAGATTGAAAATCAAATTAGAGAATCAGAGTCTTGCAGAAAGACTCAACAGGAATTTCTTCAGCCTTATAATAAAAACATTCAGCAATGAAAATTGAAGCTGAAGGAAAGTCCTCTCTCCCTTCCATCCATTGCCTCCAAATACATAAGTGGAGCCTATCTACCAGTTCTCTGTACTCTCTCTCAATTTTTGCCTTTTATCCTGATGCAAGTTTTGGTTCTTGTCTTTTGTATTTTCTTTTTTCTTTCTTTCTTTCTTTTTTTATTTGCTAGAGGGCTCCTGTGCTTACAGGAGAGAGAGAAAACACATTCCCCGTTGGGTGATAGTCACATTGCAATCCTTTCTCTTCCGTCGTTCCTCCTCTCAAGATTTTGGGCATGCATGCAAATGTGCACAGTGTGCTTTTCAAGCCACCAAGTCCAGGACTGGAATGGCATAGTCAGCCTACATTGAAATCCAGTCCAACCACCATGCCACTGGCTGGCCCATCTTATTTTTCATGAAGTAGTTCACAGGCACCTCTAGAAAGGCAGTCAACCCAGTTGCATTCAGTTCCACAACTTGGGTGTACAATCTTCATCAAGCTCCTTCTTTAAAATTTATTTATTTTACTCATAGGAGAGAGCATGCATACCCACAATAGAGAGAGTGGCACCCTCACCAGGGTCTCACCATGCTGTAATCCACTTTACCCCACCCTCTAGCTCATCAGGATCTTGGGCATGTGCAGCTCTTATGTTTTCAGGTCAACTGAGGATTCAAACCCACAGTTGGCCACGTGGGTTTTTGCACTACAGTTCAATATATCACTGTCTACACCAGTAGGGTAGAGTCTTAAAAAAAAAAATGTTTATTCATTTTTTCCATGAAAGAGAAAGAGAGGAGAAGCTATCTTAGCAGAATATTGACTCTACAATCCACCACCAACCTTCAACCAGTCCCAGATCAAGCACAAAGCATGTGCGTGGTGTACTCAGGTCTTCAGACTTAAATCTGGACCTTCACTTATGGGATTGCCCTTCAGACCATTACATTTTACCGTAGTTCTATCATCTGCCCGCCTCCCATAAGCTCTTGAACCCTGCAAAGCCTTGGTTTCCTCATTTATAAAATGAAACAATAGAAAAAGTAACTGTGTCACAAGGTTTTATAAGAATGAGCAAATGCTCAACACATGTTATCAATAATAACAAGGCACTCATACTTACTAGCCTCGTGGCCCTTCTTCCTTCTTTTTATTCTTCTCCTGGACTTAGGCTAAGGTGTGTCTAAGGTGACATGATTCTGGATCAAGTTCAGGTAGAAGTAGCACTAGAACCAGAATCAATTAGTTCACAGATTTACTCACCCATTCACTCAACCAAACAACATGATAAGCATTGTTTCAGGCAATAGAGAGATTTGAAAAAGCAAAATTCCAGTTTATACAGAGAGGGAGAGAGAGAGAAGGGCCTTCAACAGGGTCTGGCCATGCTGTGATGCCCTCCTCCCAACCATCCATCCATTAAGGATCTGGCACCTGATGTGACTCAAGCCAACCAGGCTGGGATTTGAACTGTGGTCAGCCACAGGACCCTCCAGTACTGTAACTCAGCAAACTGCTGACTGAGCTCTAAATACCCTTTTTATTTATTTATTTATTTATTTAGGAATATTTTTGCTATAAGATGTATGCATTCACCAGAGAGACAGAAAGTGAGAAATCACCCCCCGGAGGGATGGCCACACCACAATCCCTTCTCCTCCCTGATCCTCTCAGGATCTTGGGCACACAGATACACACACACATGTGCCCAGCATGAGCTTTAAGCTGCCAGGGCTGGGACTGAAACCATGGTCAACTACATGGGAGTCCAGTGAGATAGTCATTATGCCATCTGCTGGTCCCTCTGAATACCTTTTTTAAAAAGGGAATAAAGAGGGAAAGGAACACAGAAAAAAGAAAGAAAATAAGATGGAAAGAAATTAATCTTTCATGTATCGAGCACCTTCTGTGTCTCATACACAACTTCATTTAATCTCCACCACCTCCCTGTTACATAGATCTTTATCACTCTACTTTACAAATAAAAACTCTAAGGCCAGCCCAATGGCCTAGGGATTAAGGGAACTAGATCCCACATGGCCAACTGTATGGTTCAGATCCTATGCACAGCAACTTAAAAAACATGCTAGGCAAGTGAATGTGTGTTTGTGTCCCAAAATTCCAACAGGATGGAGAAATGGAAAAGAGATTGCAATAAGGGGTGCTTCCCCTGGCCCTTATATCCTTGTCTCTCTTTGGCAAAATAAATTAATTAATAAACAAACAAAAACATTAAAGTCCAAAACTAGTTAAGTATATCACCCGAGTTCATACAATTAGGATTCAAATTCAAATTGGTCAATCTCCACAGCCCATGTTCTTATACTCACACTGTGCTGCTTCTAAATGCTGTAGAAGAGCCTTTTACTGGGACCAGCAGTTAGTGTAATGGCTATGTCGCTGAACTCCCATGTAGCCAACCGCGGTTCGAGTCCCAGACCCGGTGGCTTAAACTCATGTCAGGCGTGTGTGCGTGTGTGCCCAAGATCCCAAGAGGAGAATGGAGGAGAAGGGATTGTGACGTGGCCACCCCCCCATGGGGGGTGATTTCTCACTTTCTGTCTCTCTGTCTCTCTGTCTTTCTGGTGAGTACACGCGCCCTATAGCAAAAACCTCTCCAAAAAAAAAAAAAGAAGAACCTTTTCCTTCCTCTGTGATAATCCCTAACTCTGATGAGTTGGGAGAAAATGAACCCTTTAGTTAAAACAACTATACCCACGTTCACCTGTTTGTTAGCAACTCCAAAGGAAAATAATGGATGTTATGTATTAAAAGAAAAGAGAATCTAGAAAACATGAGACCAGAGATTAAGTCCCTGAACCAACTACATCAGTGCCGCTGCTTGTGTTGCCTTGGGGACCTGCTAGCCATTAGGATTGCACAGGCCACACCAGAAGAGTTAAGTAAGAGGTGGTATTGCGCCTGAGGTGATAAGATCAGCGTCGGCAGGGAAGAGCACATAGTTTCAACTTATTTCTATACTGTGATTGTCAAATGCAAATGGGCAATAAGCGTGCAAAGAAATAGGAGAAAGCAGCAGTGTCAGAGGGATGTACTATTGAAGCATATAATGTATAAACCAAACAGTATTTGATCTTGGTATATATCCAACGACAATCTAATTTTAAATTTAAATTTTACCAAGCCTTATCTTTCCCGAGGCAAATCATGGTGGCAAATCTATCGATAATAGGACAAACGCAACTAATTCTTTTTCCCAAGATCTTAAGAACAGTGGATTAATGAGGACACACGCTCACCAATATGCAAGTAGCATTATGTCTATGTTAGCACCCAAGAACACCCTTCCCTCCAAGTTTAAATTAGTGTGAAACAATCCTAGCAAAAGTTGTACAACCAAACTAATCTTGTCAGGGACATTGGGATATCACCTCAAATCTCCAGAAGAGTACAGTTCAGAATTGTCCATTAATGACAGGTCAGGCTTACTTCTCCACCGTACCCAAAATAAATAAACAAACCACTCAGGCCCTGCCTGTCGGTATGGAAGACTTTCTCAATCAGATCTGAAACAGTGCAATGGTGACAGGTCATACCCGAGGTTCTCCAGTTTGGAGGTGAGGGAATTAGGCAGACGAATGTCTTTTCTTTGCTGGAACATATTAGGTAATATGTCTGCAGTGCTTCATATAAATTTGTATTCCATGTGGATGCTAAAATAAGAGCTTACAGGTGTTTCAGGGAAGAAGGAGCAGAAGAACGTTTTTATAATTTAACACCATTGTCCCTTCAATGTTGTAAAACACAAAGGTTGATATTATAGCACTTACTTTGTCAGATACTGGTAATATTTTGTGAATAACCTATAGCAATTATAAAAAGCAACATAGGGACCAACAGAGCATAATGGTTGTGTCACTTGCTTCCCATATCGTCAAATGTGGTTCTAGTTCCAGACTCAGTGGCTTAATGCTCACACTGGGTGTGTGTGCATGCATACCCAAAATCCTGAAAGAAGAATGGAAGAGAAGGGATTGCAGCATGGCCATCATTCCTGGGGGTGATTTCTCACTTTCTGTCTCTCAGTCTCCAGAGAGTGGATATGCCCTATAGCAAAAATCTCTAAAAACTAATAAAAGGCAACATAAATCAGAGACAAATGACCGATCAAGCAGTATTTATTTTCCTGTGGTTATTTTTTGGTAATATACTGAGAAAGAAAAAAAGATAAAATTAGTTTTTGAAATCAAAAATCAAAAATAGTTGAGTAACCTAAGAAACTTGTGTATTTGATTAAAAAAAAATTGAACTTAAAGCCTATAGTCACTTATTCATTCAACAAATACTTACTGAACATCTATTATGTGTGAAGCATTGGCCCAGGCACTAGGAATATAGCAGTGAATAAAGCAGTCTGAAATTCCTTTCCTCCTAGGAGCTTACCCAAAAGAAAATAAAAAAGTAATAAAATAATCTATCTCTAGACTCAGCCTGCCATAGAGGAAAAAGGCCAGCATTCAGAATAATTGAGTTCTGGTTCCAAACCTAAACTCTGCCAGCTAGTTACATGAGTCTTGCATGCAATGTATTTAACCTCTCGGAACTCTGGTTTTCCAGTTTGCCAAATGAGGAAGATCCCGTCTCCCTCCAGCATGGTTCCCGGTACTCAGAAGACACTCAGGAAAGACAGGTTTTTCTGGGGCTGGAAGTACAGAATGCAGTCTGGAAATCTATTCATGGATTTCTTCTTCAGCAGTGGTCTCAGCACCAAATAGTCTCAGTACCAAACTTACAGATCCCCAGTGCATTTGATAAACCTTTTACAAGTCCTGGCCACCATGAAAACTGTCAAGTCCATAGGGTTTAAGACTTCCCACAATCTCTCACCGACCTCAGTGAAGAGACTAGACTGTAAACGAGCGCCATCTTACGGTTCCTATGAGACCATAATATGTACTAGAACGCCTTTGTCCTCTTATAAAGACTGTGCTGGTGAGCCGCGCCCTTAAATAATCATGACTGTTGTGCCAGTGTCTATGAGCCCATCATAAAAGGTAGACAAGCACTGGGGGAAAGCAAATGATTTATCAAGTCATCTGCATCTGGTCCTAAGAAAAGCTTTCTTTCTCTCTTTTTTAGATATTGTAATCTAAATCATTTTAATGTCCAGAACATCAGTGGAAGTAATCTTGAAGAAACACTTCCCCTCCAAGAAAAGTCTCTGAAATTTTATGGCAGTATACAGGAATTCTCTTCAAGTATTGATCTTTGGGAGACAGCCCTATGAAACTATATTTGACTCCACCTGTCTTATGAGCACAGTATTCATTGTTTCCTTCTGCAGCTGAATACTTTATGCTTTTTAGTGTAAGAGCCAATATATATGGGAGTGGCTTTGTAAATAATATCTGCAAGCTTTATTTATAAAGACCAATTCTGGCCATTCCAGTAAACTGTTACACTTTTGTGTTAACATGTTATGCATTAGAATTAATAAATTTGAAAGTCTAGACAATTACCCGATGACAAGTAAATAGTGATACATCAGTACTATTATACAGTTTGGTTTTTTTTACAATGGCTCAGTTATTCAGAGCAACATTTATGGGGGGGGTTAGAGTTTTATCAAATTATTAGAAGTAAAATAAGAGTATGCTAATATTCTTGGTTTTGTTGCATTTACTGAGTTCTTACTACATGCCAACATCGTGACCATATACTGTATACATCTGGGTAAATTGTGTGTGTGTGTATGTACAAATATGATTTTGTATATTATACACACACATATGTAATTTTGCCATATTTGATATAGATTTTACACTATCAATATATATCTAGATTAAGAACATTTCTTCTGTATTCAAAAGCAATATTGCTAAAGTAGAGGTCCTTAACAATGAGGGACTGTCCATGTACTGAAGAAGTTAAAAAAATAAACATAAATGATGGAGTTGTTGCGACTAAAGGAAAATTAAGGAAGATAAAATGAGTGCTAAAAGGAGGAGGTAAGTAACCAAATTAAATCGAGATGCTTAGAGGTGATATAAATGACATCTTTTGCTCTGCATGGTATTCAGATGCATCTCAAAAATCATTTCCCAAAAGAATTTATTTTCAATCAAAGAAATGTGGATTAAAAAATGAAGGAAATGCATGTATTCTCTGTTTGTAGAAGGATTTGTCAAGGCTGGCTGAAGATCACCTGTTTCAGATGACTTTTTCTGGCCCCATACCCAGAATACCTTAGCCCCAATCTTTTTCCCGGTTTGGGGCTGAGAAATTGGTGGATTTTAACACTCACACCCAAATCGTTTTTATGTTCCCCAAAGTTTGAGAGCCACTGCTTTCCAGGATTGTTCATGCTGGATAGGATAGGAGGAGCTATCAGCTGATTGCAAATGATTCTGCAATTAAGCACCTCCCTTGTGTATACATAAAATATTTTAGATCTGTAGAATAAAAGATGTATTCAACTTGATTAGGTACGATACACATTTTTAATTGCAAAAGAGCATCTGTAAAGCACCAGGTGTCTCTCTTACACAAACTAGTTTTTGTTTGCTTGCTTGTTTCGAGAACAAATGAAAAAGACCTGTCCAGTTCTTACAGACATAAATTCTTTCCCCTGAAACTTCCTCATATCCTTCTTTGTCTAGCGTTCATTCCCCGGCAAAACACCAGTAGACCTTGATATGCCTTACAAACTTTCCTGGCTGCAAAAGGTTAAATGCCAAGCTTGCAATGTGAGTTTCATGAACACCCCAAAGATCGAGAAACTTCTAAGCACTTCATTGCGGTACACGTGGAAAGTGCCGACAGTCTCTCTCACCCTTAAAAGGCTCTGCCTTATGGTGTTCTCCCCTCCCCCACACTGCCTTCCTCTCCTTAATTTCTACCTCGGAATAGAAAAAGGTGCTTGTTATGCTTCCACTCCTCCTTGGAGATGAAAGAACTACAGAATTGTAAGGTTGACCCAAAGCAAACACCAAAAGAGCTGAGAATTCTCACGTTGGAGTTGACACTGCTGATGAGCTAAATTGCGGTAACTACAAGGCTTCCATCCGGAACACGATGCACTCACACAGCAGTTCCTTCTCCAGCTCCTAGCAACATTATCATTGAGCACCTGGAATAGTTTAGGCATTAAGTGTAATTGGTTTTGCTTTACATAAATCTGTAGCTTTGTAAATAAGCGGAGCATTTCAGCTTCTATATAACACCAATTAACTTAAAGGGATGCGTTGTTTGCAGAAGCCTGCTGGGTTCTGTACTGTATTTCTCTGGTAATATGTGCAGTGGTGAGCAGAGGGCTGTGTCCCCACGGTTTTCTGTCTACTCCAGCCACTTGGTGCAGAGGGTCTATACCCAGCCACCCCTTGGCTTCATTTTCAGTGGTGGTAAAAAATTGGAAAAAATGAAGTCTCCCCTGAGATGCGCCTTCCCTGCTCTCTTTCTACCCATGATTGAGACCTGAAAGGCGAGGTGTTAGAGCATGTTTTCTGTGACCGTCAGAGTACAGTTCTGAGCCCCCTCTGATTCTGTCCCCAACTGACGACGACATCTCTTTCCGCTTCCTTTTTTTTCCCCTTGTAACACTCTAAGCCAATGCAGCTCAAAGTCACTACATTGAGTCTGTCTGTATACAGAACTAAGGAAACTATATTTGTATTACATCGACTTACAAGTGAAATGCTTCCGCCAGAGTGACATAAGAGGACAGATAGCCGTCAGAGATCTGCTTCTAGAAGCTGGTAAACTTTTCCAAACTCCTTGGTCTTCCCCTTCTTACCTCTTTACAAGCTTCATCCCTTATTCCTCATATCCCCGACAGGTCATCTTTATTTATAACATTTATTACATCCTGACCAGCCTCTAATTCTCTTGGTTTCTCAAAATGTTTTTCTCAACTATCGGAGTAACAGTATCACCAAATAATAGCTCCTAACACCAAAAAGGTTTCCATTAATATTGTGATTTACAACTTGAAGGAGAGAAAATGACTCCTGAAAACTGTCAGGATCTACCGTTCTCTGAGAACAAGATTCCACATTATACACTAAGCCAGCCTGGCGATGAGCATACACCATTTCTGCTGCGAGAGAAGCCCGTGCCCAATTACTGGCCACAGGCTTAGGAGCAAAGCCCTCAAATAAAATCAGCAGCCAAGTGATGACAGCACACAGGTGCTGCTAAAATTCAGGTCTGCTTGTAAAGAGCAGGGAAATTAAGGAACCACTAATAACAACAACTCACATCAATGTCGCCCTTTACCACTTACGAGTTGCTGTCACACATATCACCACATTTGATTAGCAAAATGTGAGACGTAGCCACGTTTTATTTAGCATGCCCATTTTGTAAATGAGAAGTTGCAACTCTTGAGACGTTAAGTGTCACAGGAAGAGTAGGCGGCACAGAAGGGACTTGGACCTTGCTCTGTCTGTCCCTAAAGTGCCAATCCCTTCGACAAACAACACTCCCAGTGACACCCACACTGGATCATCTTCAGCCACTTCAGTAAGACATGCTACATCATCTGAACGGAATAAGAATGAGAGGAGAGAACGTTCATGTTGGAGATCCTGACCAAACTGTTCATCAAAAACGAGCCTCTTTTGGGACCAGCAGTTAGCGTAATGGCTTTGTCGCTGGACTCCCACGTAGTCGACTGCAGTTCGTGTCCCAGACCCGGTGGCTTAAAACTCACGCCAGCTGCGTGTGCATGCGTGCCCAAGATCCCGAGAGGAGAATGGAGGAGAGGGGATTGCGGTGTGACCATCCCCCCTGGGGGGTGACTTCTCGCTTTCTATCTCTCTGTCTCTCTGTCTGTCTGGCAAGTGCATGCACCCTAGAGCAAAAACCTCTTAAAAAAACCAAAAAGGAACCTCTTTCCAACATTTCTAATCCCTCATCCAGCTTTCCCTGAGGAGTCATGTGTCCTCCTGAGGACCTCAGGCAGTCAGAAACACCTCCCTGAAAAGTTCCACCCAAACTCACTACACTGGAGAAGGGGCAGGTCTCAACCTCTAAACCATCCTTTCCTTCTTGTATCTAGATGACCTGGATATGCTACAGTCCATTTGAGAAAGACAAATTGGCCTTGAAAAGTATTATTAATAATTATGAAGCCTCCTGTAGTACTCACTAAGAGCACTATCCTAAGTGTTTATTGGTATCTTAACTCATTCAATCATAGTTGTTAATCCCATTTTAGAGATAAGAAACATGAAACGTAGAGGCGTTAATAACTTCTCAAAGATTATTCAGGCAGTTTGTGCAGAGTCAAGATTTGGACCTGGGGAGTCTGGCTCCAAAATCTGGGGCCAGCCCTCTCTATGTAACTGCCTGTCAGTATAGCTGTTACCTATGATAAGTTCATATTGGGTTGTGGGGAAAGTCATGACACATATTTGTATAGAAAAATACGTCATGACTTCTGGAGGAGTCCGACCCGGTGGAGTTCCAGGACCCGTCTGAGCCCTTTGACCTTTGAGCATCGCTTCTGGTCGGTTCAGTGAGTTGGCAAGGCCGCGACTGTACGCCCCCCAACCTTGGAACAAGCTTGGGTCACTTAGCATGTTGGCAAGGCTGCCTGCTATTC